TTATCAATACAGTTAGGATTGCTACCACTATCTATTAGGAGTTTTAAGTGTTTCTTTCCACTAATATATGCCACACTTATTGTTTGGAAGGAATTTAGCCTTGATATTACATTCAAGGAAATATAGGCCAAGTCTATATTAATTTCAAACTCTTCCTCTACTTATGATCTTGACTTGCTTCCTCCATCGACAAATAATTAGAATTGTAGTTTTTTCCTTTGCAGACATGCCCTCTTTCAAAATTTTCATTGCAAAATAAGCATAAGACAATCAATCTATTCTTAACAATTTTTGCATGAGATAAATTTCACCTGGTGGTGTGGGTTTCTCATCAAACATGTGACTTTGGTTTGGTGTTTAGGGGTGTAATTGTTGGTAACATGTGTAATTATTATTAATATTGAGATAGATTGACTTCAATTTACTCACCGAGAAGGGAGATGTTGGGTGCACACTCAGAGTGATAAATGTGAACTCAGGAATACGGGGGTCCAGGGGCAGAGCCTCTGGATACGGGGTTCCAAGGGGCAGGGCATAGGGGCAACGACCCTACTGGGTCCAAGGGCAGAGCCTCTGGATACGGGGTTCCAAGGGGCAGGGCATAAGGGCAACGACCCTACTGGGTCCAAGGGGCAGAGCCCGGGCGGTTCTAGCCATGCAAATTTCCGCCAAAAATAGGTTGTGACATCATCATGATAATGTCAGATTCGGTTATGTCTAAATAACGGTATTTATAACCACATTTTGGCACCAAAATACATGTAACCACCATTAACCAACTTCCAATTGTTTTCTTACATCTATATAAGGATGATAAGTGTTCCAAAATCGGGTTGATTACATAAATACACAAAATTAATCATAAGCAATTCTCTATATCATAAAAAACACAAAATAACAATGTATTTTCTATGTTTCAGATTTAGAAGCAGCCTGACTTCCAAATTGTAATTCTTAGATTATCTCAAATCTAATTTCGTGATAGGCTAGGGATGAAAGTGGGTCCAAACCTGGACCGGATGGACCCGGACCCGGAAACCCCAGAACCGGTTAACGGGATTTTGTAGAACCGCAATCCGGACCGGCATATAGGAACCAATTCCGGTTCGGTTACGGATATGGTACCAGGTAAAGTGGGTCTAGAACCAGAAAACCCGGAAACATCAAAGTGGGTAGGTTGGAACCGGATAAAATGGGTTTAGAATCGGAAAACCCGAAAAAACCAGGATTTTTTGGTAATTACTTACTACTTAGTGGGTTGAACTTTAAAAATTTCATATTGATATCCCAACTTCGGGGGACTGTAAGTCATTGAATATGAAACCAAAATTGACAAACTCTAAACTACACTCTGGAAAAAACCACATGTCAATACGACTTTAAACAAATGAGATATGCATGTGTTAACGTTTTCTCATCCCTACCCCGGACTATAAGGACGAAATCACATATTTTAGAAAGTGATTACAATCACAATCCTAGAAATTATCCAAGTATATTCATATTCTCAAGACCCCAAATCTAACGATAGTTGGGGTAAGTAGTAGAGGTGGAAGAGTTTTTTACTATATTTATATGACTATTTATGGATGGTAGATTAACTAATAGACTGATTATTGGGTTTGTTGGTGGGTTTGTTTTGTTTGGTCTATTGGGTAGCCTCGTCTAACTTGGTTAGGCAATATCCTATTGGATTGTAGCTTAAGATTGAACATCCGGACATTAATATATCGCATGGCACTTAACCTATAACCCATCTATAATCCACTAAGGATTATATTCCTTAAAGAGGTGAGTCTGCTCACAATTGCATCAAAGGAATCATGGTATTCTTTATTAGGTTATCATGTGTATTTTAAGGAGACTAGAATGAAACACTTTTCTTCAAGTATAATAACAACATTCCAACATTTTATTAACACATGGTTCCATATATAATACACCCAACAAAATGAAACCAAAATCATCATATAGCTCTCAAAATGAATCAAGTTTCATTTCGTCTATCTAACCTAACCTAACCTAACCTACCTTATCCAATCAAATATAGAACAAATGTATCATATCATTATTACACATGACAAATTCACCTTTCAAGATTTATTTCTAAACTTGTAACATATTTGCAACGTTATTGTCTCCCTGAAAAAACGGATGATAAATCCTTACTCCTTCCTGGTAAAATGGCGTTTGCATTTCTATCATTCGCGACACCTACACAACCACCATCATCCTTAGCATCATCAAAATACATATGCATCATGTATGTATGTATATATGTATGTAATGTATGTATGTATAGAAAGAGAGACATACAGCCCGACGAAAAGCAAACATTTCCTCTTTTCCAGAAAGCATGGAAATGATGCCAGCTGGCACACCTCCTGAACCAATATTTCCCACTGCTAAAACATCACGTCTTAACTTTGAACCTTCTGTCTCTGTTTCAAATTGGAAACTGCTTACAAAATAAAAACATTTCCAATTTTTAATAAACACTAATGTTACATAATATATAAATTGTTTATATTTGTTATTTTATAACAACATTAAAAAAAAAAAAAAAAAAAGACTTGCCTTTCTAAATCAAAAAGCGTTCCCTCTTCTGTTCCCTGAAATAGTTCATCAATGGAAGAAGCTGCAGAACAGTATAAACAGCAATGATGGTTGTATAATTCATCAACCAGAATTATAAATCTCCGAGCCTGAAAAAAATTAAATTACCAAAATACCCTATCAAAACATTATCCAAATAAAAAAAAATTATTATTTTAAGTTTTAACCTTGTCACGAATCTGCATACTCATCATCGGAATATCTGAGATGAAAACCGTATGATAATTCTTGGCTACAGCTATATAATCTGCTGCTCCTACCTAATTTCATCCTTATTATTTAATATTTATTAAATCAAAATAGTAAATTTTTAAATAAATAAAATTATAAATTATACCGGACGACCACATAAATATTCAAATGTAAACTTGGCTACTCCATTACAGCTTTCAGGGACTTCAAGTCTTCTGTGTAATGCATATGTCACACATCAAGAACAATGTATAAAAAATAAAAAATAATTTTTAATTAATATTTACCTTCCAAACATTACTGATATGGTTTCAGATTTGACTTGTTGACCATAACTTTGTATAATTTCATTCCACATATTCTCATATTTCTCAGTTGCAATACTATTTAAAGGATAAAAGTAGGTCACCTACATAAAAATAAAATACTTTATTCTTTTTTTTACCATTATATGTTACTAAAAGATAAAAAATATATATATAAATATTAAATTCTCACCCGATTTATAGATCTTTGTGATATTAAACGACGATAATCAGTTTCACTTCCAATTAAAACAGTTTCACAATGTTCTTCCATTTTATCAAGAAGCTTCAAAAATATCTCCCATTGCATACCATCCTAAATAAACATTAAAAAATGTTTTAAATATATAAATTTATATAACTTAAATGATTAAAATATTAAATTTAAATCTCACTTGATTCAAGTCACTAGGTGCTCTGTTACTAGTGGCAACAAGAACAGTTCCAGTGGTTAACAATCTATTTATGATTCCAGATAAAGCCACAATAGCAAACACATCAACGGTTTGGATTTCATCAAAACATAGAATGCAAGATCCTTTTTGGTCAATGATTTGGTCAACGAGGAATTTATCTGCTACAGCTGGAAGAATGTTTTTCATTTGCATTTCTTCTTTGTAGCTTTCTTCTGAAGCTACCCATTCTTTAACTTTAGTGTCAAAGGGAAGATTCATTATCCAATTAGCGATAGTTGACTGCATTGACTTTTCCTTTACTTGATTTTTCCATAATTTATGCATTCGCTCATTTATCTCTAACATAGCCTCATGAAAGTGAAATCTCCTTCTATGTGTGACAATTCCTTTGGTGGAATTATAAAACATGTCCATAAGCATTGTTTTTCCTATAAGAATGCTAAAAGTAAGGTTAAAATTGAAGTTGAAACATAAAAATATTAATAAATTGAAAGATTAACAATATGAAATTATGAATATACCACTTCCGACATTTCCATAGATGTATAATCCTTTAGGAGCTTGAGGAACAGTGGGACACTTTCCAACTAATGAATCTAACTTTCTTTCTCGATTTAGATATGAAACCCATTTCCCAACTCCAGGTTCTACATTCACAGGTTTTTTCCTGAAATTTGGTTAAGAAAATGATTAAAGTTGTGATTTTTTAAACTATCTAATGATGACTACTTACCTATCGAGCCATTTGCCTAAAAATCTGTTGTGTGATTTGTCGAGAGATTCAGTTCTTTGTTGTTTGCTCTTGCCTTCTTTTAGTAAAAGCTTGCGCCTTTCATTCTCACGGTTTTCTTCCCAGTTGGATAGTTTGACCTAGATATGGTATGAAATAGATCATCACAGGAATTATAAATTGAAACAGGGATATGGTCTTGAGATTTAGAATTACATGATATTCTTGCATTTCTTTCTCATACTGCTGTAATCTTTGGAGTAAGTTATCGAGTTCCAGAGCGACTTTTTCTTGATAAGGATCGAATTGTAGTTGTCCTTCCTTGACAAGATTTTTATACTGTGTAAGTGGTCCTAAATTCAAACGAAATTGTATAAAGATTAGAAATTGCAATATGATCAGGTCCCTGGCATTACAATCTACCCCTAAAATCACACTAGTGTATGATTATATGATTGTACTTCCCCAATTGAAACAAACACATGCCAATTTGATTACAATTAGAGATACCTGGATTCGTGGAAGTTGAGAATTGATGGTGATCGGAGTAGATGCGAAGAGCATTGATTCGAAAACAGGAGGTCCGGTGTCGAGCAGCAAACCCTAGAGAGCGAAATGATGAAATTAGGCGACTCATAATCGTTGGCGTCTTTGTGTGAAGAAATGGGGTTGTGTTCTTGGATCATTCGGAAGGAAAGGGCGATCGCCATTGATGGGTTGATTATATAGGTAGAGAAGAGGATGCAAAGTTCCACCATCTCTGAAAGAAATTTGCAGGGGACGTGGCCAATGGACCGACCATCCAGTTCTTCCAATATGTTACGTCGCGAGAGCTCCTACTGCCTAACATCTACAATGGTACAAGTTTTAATGCACAAAATATACATCAATCACAGATGACATGGTACAAGTTTTAGTATAGGAATATATAATACAAATACAAATAAAAATGTAAAGGTCAAAGTTAAATAATAAAGATTTAAAAAGTTAAAATTAGACAGTAAATACAGAACGTAGATATTATTATTTTGTATGGTTTTTTGCTTGAATCTAGAAAACGACATGAACGAAATCGTAGATGAGCTAACAAAATCGCATATGAGGCCATGCATTCTGCGATTTCGTTTTTCATTTTACCTTTTTTACTTCTTAGTTTTTCAACATGCGAACAAAAGACTACATGTCAGTCTAACTGTAAAAGCCCAATATCACAAAATATGGGAATTACTTAGGTCCCGTTTGATAGTTGCTGACTGAGAAAGTGCTGACTGGGAAAGTTCTGTCTGGGAAAGAAATCCTGACTGAGTAAGAAATCATGTTGTTTGATTGTCCATCTGACTGAATGTGCTGAGTGATGAAAAATGACCATTTTACCCTGTTGTTATATATAGTGATGGATTAATTAAGTTGCTGAATAATTATAAAAACATACATATTGTCATAAAAAATGTAAATTACACAAAAATAAAAAATGTCATACAAAATGTAAATTAAACATAAATCATTTAATATCCAAATAAAAACATAATGAAATTTAAAATAACATAATAATTTAATGTAAAGTAGGTGAAAGTAGTCGATTTGCAATCTGATCACGCAAAACACGCATATACTCAACGGCTTCTGGACCCCATTCTATGTCTTGTATGTTTTCTCTATCAATTCCCCCACCTTGGACGTCAGGAGTAACCATAGTGTCCTCCTCAAAATTTCTAAACAAGTCATCTTCTATATTGTATTTCCTTATAAAATTATGGACCGCGACACAAACAATGACTATGTCTCTTTGCACTGTAAAAGGATAAGGAGCCATTTGTTTTAAGATTGAGAATCTCGCCTTCAATACACCATAAGCACGCTCAATAACATTTCTAAGTTGTGCATGAGCATGATTGAACCTTTCTTCTCTAGTTAAAGGTCTGCCTCTTCGAAAATCGGCTAACCAATACCTAGTATTGCGGTATGGAGCCATAAACCCACGAGTGTTTGCATATGCGGCATCACAAAGGTAATATTTATCTGCAAATTAATGTGACACATATTATATAAAGAAGATAGATAATAAAATTTATATAAAGATTACAAACCCGATGGAGGAAATGGAAATCCAGAAGTCGAATTGAATGCAACTTCTTTCCAAACTCTTGAATCATGTGCTATACCCTCCCATCCAGCCCAAACAAAGGTGAATATCATATCAAAATCACAAATTCCTATAACATTTTGAAAACATTCTCCTTTTCCTCGTCCCTTATAACGAGTTTGTTGATCAACGGGTACAACCGCATGTACAAGAGTTCCATCTAATGCACCTATTGCTCCGGAAAAAATATTTTTTAACCGTCTATGTCGTTCCGAGTTATGTCTTGTTGGATTAGGAGTTGTTGGTACTATAATTTCTTTTGCAAAACACATCATTGCAGTTAGGACCTCGTGAAAACATTGATGAATCGTTTGTGTGGAGTGATGAAATCTTCCCTTAACCGCGCGAAAACGTTCATTATGTCCTATAACATGTAAGAATATAGCCATCTTCTCTTCAATGCTTATTGTTTTACTAGCTTGCAACCAATTTTTTTGGGTAAAATGGTTACATAATAATGCAAATGCCTCTTGTGTAAGACGCATCATATCGTAACATTGTGTAGGGTCTCCGTACATCAAATCTTGCGTATACGCATACCCGCTTGTACCGTTATCTCTAATTCTATGAGTTCTGATTAGTCTGCGTCGGTTTGACCTCAACCAATAAAACACAAGTAAAAGAAAAGCTACAACTTCACCATCAGTAACCATACTTGACCTGTTGCAAAGAATTAGGTAACATGTTAAAGTAAAAAAAATCATGCACCAAAAAAATTAGTAAACGTCATATTCAATAACAAACGTCATATTCAATATTCAATAAAATCCAAAAGTAACATCCAAAAAAGTAACATTCAATAACAAACGTCATCCAAAGTAACATCCAAAAAAGTATCAAACATAGGATCCAAAAGTCATGCAAACTTTCTACCCGCACCCATCAAAGGTAACCATATTTCCTACCCGCACCCATCGCCCACGACTCAAAACTAGTATGTGAAAGTCGTAACCAAACTTTTCTAACATCAGCACTTTCACCAAATAGCAAAAGAGCGGTCTTGTGTCTTTCATCTTCTTCTCCCCATTCCATTTTGTTTAATTTCTCCATACACGCATCAACATCCTTATCCATTTCACTTTTTTCAATTCTTTCATTTTTTTTCCACTAACGACCTTGAAAGCTTTACAATCTCCTCTTCAACTTCTAATGCCCTTGCATCTTTTTTTTTCCCACCAACTTTTTTGTTTCCACCAACTTCCGTATTTTTTGAGCGCCCCGAAGATTCTTCACTTGCACCTATGTGTTGTGTTGAGGTTTCCATTGGAACATCATCATCAAAATCATGGGCACTAAACTCTTCTACAGGACGAGGGAGCGTAGAAGATGGCCCCCAACTTTGAAAGCCGGTTGAGGTCGACCCTTCAAATAGTTGGGTGCAAAGTTCAGGAAACAGCAGAGGTTTAGTTTTCAATGACAACACGAACTTGTTCAACTGTTACAATTTTTATAAATATTAGTATTTTTTATAAAAATAATTATAATAGTATTTGTTATAAAAATATTACCTTCCCCTCTTCCTTCCATTGTTCATCAGTCAGGTTAAATTTATTTTTTATAGGGTCATATATATTGTCGGTTTTGTTTTTCAGTTTCACCCAAGCAACATACTTTGATTTGTAGTAGTCAAAGTGGTTTCTCATTTGCTTCTGATCAACCTCTTTACCGTGTTCGTTCATCAATTTTTCGTGTACTATCTTCCATGAACTAGCCTTAAGCCCAGAACCCTCACGACCATTAGTGGTTAGTTCATGGATACATGCATCAAGAAAAGTTTTGTCCTCACTTTCATTCCAAACCAACATCCTAAAACAAAAAAAAAATCTGATTTTTGATTTCATAGCTTATACACAATCAAGTTTCAGATTTCATAAAATGTACCCACTCGGATTCTTCAAACAAGTCACAATATTGTTATTAATTTAAGAAAAGTTCATTTTTTAGTCATCACATTCCTAGACCCAAATAATACCATATCCAATTTCATGAATTGTTGGTGTATTTGATTCCAGTTTATCATTTGGAATTATATCACATAATTTTGAGGACCAATGAATATCAAAATATATTTTGGAAACAATTCGCAGATCAGATATCACAAATCAGACACAAGTTTTAGGGACTTCACAAAAATTTGAAGTAGCAGATTTGAGACGCGAATGTAATCTTTAGCATTGCAAAAATTTGGCAGAAAAAAATATAAACAATCCACAAAAAATTGCCATTGCAGATTTCAGATGGCAGATTCCTCTAGCATATAGAAGATTTGAAAAAAAAAATCATTCACAACTACAGGTTAACCAGAAATCTTTGCAATTTGGCAGAAATTCGTGTCAGCAGATGACAATAGACAGAGAATATGATAATCAGAAAAGGAAATTTTTGGTGTTGAAACCATCCGAATAAGCAGAAAAACGAAATAACCAGTATAGACATGGAGATATCGAGAATTATAAACATAGACAGAAAAGATCATAACTAGAAAAAGCAAATTCGTTACCTGGTCGGAGAGCTGGCGGCGGTGGAGATCGGAGATCGGAGAGCTGAGTCGACAAGGATGATGGCGGTAGAGATCGAAGAGCTCCGCACGGTGGCTAGAGAGAAGAAGATGGGAGATGGAGAAGAAATTGTGATTGGAGGCGTCTTCTGTGAATCGTATCCAAACGGAGATGGCAGCGATAAGGAGGGAGATGGCAGCGACAGGAGCTGTTCGATGGAGGCGATGGAGGAGGCGTGATTTTGGACGCGGTATCTTTTAGGTCACCAGAAAATTTTGAGAGGGTAGGATGGTATTTTGGCGAGTTAGCAGCATCTTTAGAGCTGAGCGAGACATCTATTTGGGCCAGACAAGCTGACCGAGACAACTCCTATCAAACACGAAACATCTGACCGAGAAAGCTGAAACATCTGACTCGGTTTGGGTCAGATGGGTATCAAACAAAGCCTTAGTTGTTTAAAAGGTCTATGTGGTAAATTATTCGTAATGACTGCATTCAGACATTGGTCGGAAGTACCTGTATTGGTAGGTTATCCTAATTGATAATGAGTCAGTGTCTTTATATTTCGATTGGGCTAATGTTGATTTTGGAAGTATTTTCTTTTTGACAAACATTAAACTAGTTTTATTTTAGAATTTCTAATATAATGTTCACAAAAGTATACAATCATGCTTCCCATTTATTATAACAATAGTGAGCATAGGTTATGGGTTATTTGCACTTGAAGACATTGACATTAAATGTTTACGATAGTGTGATTTCAATAGGTCGTAACGTGAAAATCTTGGAGAACTTACAACCTTTCATAGCTTATTTCAACGACTACTTAAAGTCCATAGATAACCGAGTAGAGTGGATATGAGACCATCGATGAGCAGAAAGGTTATTTTTTTCAAAAACATAACAAGGTAATGATGCGGTGTCTCTGTTTGTATGTGTTTAGCGTCGTTGAGTAGTAGTAGAAACGTGACAATGAAATGAAATGAACGAGATCATGTAAATGGCAGATATTGGGAATATCGTATGCTAATGCCTAAGAATTTGGGGTGACAAATTAGACAACCGTGTCTTGTTTTTTTAGCTGACACGACATGAATCGACAATTTTTATATGACACGAACATCACATGGCATGATGTCGTGTTTTCTTTTACTAACACAAAAACGACCAAAATAAAACACGATAAAACAAACAACGTCAACACACGAGAAAGATAAAGTAAAATAAACCTTTAGTTTAATAATTCAAAATTAATCTTACAAAACATGTCGATCACATATTAATATTTAATTAATTTCGAGTCGAATCTTGAACACGAACACGACACGACATCGTGTTTTTTATACTTGACACGAACACAAATTTGAACTTGAATTTCATTTTGTGTCGTGTATTTTTGTCGTGACGTATCATAGATTGTCACCCGTACTAAGAATATCTAGGCAGGTCGTGGACAATGAAGTCGATATATTTTTACTTTTTGTTTTTTAAAAAGAAATTACTTAACAACTAACTATACTTCTGACCACACGTTTGGAGATTGTAACGATTTGTTTTTCACAATCAGTAAAGACCTTGTCTAATTCTAATAACATCTTTAAAATTCCCTCCTTCAATCGTAAGTTTATCAACATCCTTAACGACACTATTAATCCATTTTCTGCAACTTTTATTTCCCAATTCCTTGTATTAGTAACCCATTCGATCCTTTCTTTAATCTCTCTTAAGAGAGCCTCTACACCTTCATGGTGTTTCTATTCTGAGTCCATTTCTTGCTCCGCTTCAGTGTCGTTATAACTTCGAAAATGTAATCGGACATCTTAGGTGAAAATTGTCCATCAAGATAAAATTTCGGATAATCTAGGCCGACATCAAGGAATGGAATAAGAATATAACAATTGCATTGTTTGTCTTCACAATGAAATAACTCATAACTCGTAATCGATGAAGCCTTCAAATCATTTGCCTTTTGAGTTCATATTGAACAACCTAGGAGACAAAAACAATCAAAATTAAACTTCTTATATAGATCGAAAACTGATATGCAATTGTTAGCCCGGCTATAGTCGCAAACTTCGCAAGAATGTATTAGTTTTGAGAGCATCATTTGCATGCTTAAATGATTTGTAAGGCCATATACTCATTCGCGTTGTTTGTAAATATTTTAAGTAGTTAAAATAGTAGAACAACAAATAATTGCAAATCAATTTATACTCGTTTGGTAATGTTTTATGGTAAAGTACAATTCTTGCTCGTTGGGTGGTGTTATCAATTTATACTCTGGAATTTAAGTCACTTATGGGATATAGGTGCAATTAGGATTAGTATTAGAAGTAGATTATATGTAACGTCCTAAAATTCACAAAAGATTTTTCATTTTACAATAGATTAACCCAATTTAAAACTAAGTTTCAAAAACCATTGAATAATATTTGATTGATTGAAAACCATACATTATCGTAGCTAAGTTCACAAAAACCGGTGAAACGAATATCTTTAATGCGTGTGTACAGTCCCGCCGAGCTCTTATCACGAACGACATGCAAAATGTTTAATCCACAACTGTAAGCATAAAGCTTAGTGAGTTCCCCAGTATACCACAGATTCCACTATACATACAGTGCATCCACATACAATCCTCGAATCTAGCGCCGAGCAACCAAAACTCCTAACCATATACATATATCATACGTAACGAGCCCATCCCAAGAGTTCACGGGCCCAACCCAACTCACATAACGGGCCCCGCCCAACCATGCATAACATGCCCCGCCCAACCATACATAATGGGCCCTGCCTAAGGAGTAAATAGGCCCTACCCAAACTCCATTGCGAGGAGCTACATCCTGGCCTTCTGTGCTATTGCCAAGGTCAAATCTTGGTCTTCTGTACAATGTCAAATCCATATATAATTGGAATCAGATAAGACATTCGAACAGATGATCCACCCAAAAGCAATAAAGCAAATAAAAACTATGCAGTCAGGCATTAGACTAAGAGTTCTTAGGGTATCCAACTTGACTGCATACAATCCCTTAGGGTAGACATTCAACAACAAGTCAATACTTACTTTACACCCAAAAGAGATGATCGCCTTCCTTCAAGCACCCAAAATGGTACATTTCCACAAAATATGACAAGGAGGAAAGGGGAAAGAGAGAATGAGCTAGGGTTTATCAAAGGGGAAGATAGAGGCTGGAAGGAATACCCTAAACCTAAAGTTATAGTCTTTAAATATGGAAGAAACTCTAATCTTCATGGGTTTGGGTTGCAGCTGCTAGGGGTGAGCATTTGGACCGAACCGGACCGACTCTTGGACCGGACCGATTATGGAGAATATTGTGGACCGTGGACCGGATCGAATGAGTCGTGTCCGGGTCCGGGTTTTCCGGTTCTTGGACCCGTTTGGACCGGTACAACTTTAATTGCATAGAGTACAAGTCGTTAAAATAAGTTTTTGGGTTTGATAGAACTCTTTAAAACGAATATGTTATTGGGTTTGATACGATACAACTTGTAAAAATGATTATGTTTCCGTTTCATGCATAACTAATCTACCTTGATGTTATAATATTATAACTTGCAAAATTAATTTTCCAAATAAAAGCAACTAACATATAAATCAAGTTCACCAATATCCCTTTCATATGATTTATCTGTCAAAGATACATAAAATTTAGAATTATAGTCTAAAATAATAGTTAAAAAGCTGAAATATTTCAGCTTTGATAGCTCAACTTTGAAGGATTGTAACTCACTGAATATAATACCAAAATCAAGAAAATTATAGTCTAAATTCATCTACAAACTGTAAACTAAATGTTGGAAAAAACCGCATGTCAATCCTACTTAAAATGAATGAGTTATGGTTGTTTAAAAAAATTCATAGATTACAAAATTTTAAAAATCTTGCCGAAAAGCTGAAAATTTTCAGATTTGATAGCTCAACTTTGAAAGACTGTAACTCATTGAATATAATATCAAAATCAACAAAATTATAGTCTAAATTCATCTACAAACTGTAAATTAAATGTTGGAAAAAATCGTGTGTCAATCCCACTTAAAACAAATGAGTTATGATTGTTTAAAACTTTTCACATATTACAAAATTTTAAAAATGTTGCTGAAAAGATGAAAATTTTCAACTTTGATAGCTCAACTTTGAAGGACTGTAACTCATTGAATATAATACCAAAATCAACAAAATTATAGTCTAAATTCATCTACAAACTGTAAATTAAACGTTGGACAAAACCGCATGTCAATCCGACTTAAAACGAATGAGTTATGGTTGTTTAAAAATTTTCACAGATTACAATTTTTTTTTTAAATCGGGTCCAATCGGTTCTAAACCCGGTAAAAACCGGACCGGACCGGGAAAAAAACCGGACCGGTTATTATGGATTCTTAGAACCGAGAACCGGACCGGGGTCCCAAAAAACGGTCTGGTCCGGTCAGGTTCACCGATCCGGTCAGGTTCACCGGTCCGGTCAGGTTCACCGGTCCAAATGCTCACCCCTGGCTGATGCCACGTTGTGGCCTACCTCTTTGCCATGTCGTGGCAATCATCCGATTGTACGTTCCTGAAATTGAGTTGCCACGTCGTGACACTACATCCATCATATCGTGGCACAAAGTTTTTCCCAAAAACATTATCTTTGATCTCTCTGAGCTGATTCACTCTAAAAAACGGATGTTACATTATATTTAGGTTTTTGGCTGATAGATATTCTTAAAATATGTTGATTTTAGTGAACTCCCAATAAACTATAACACCAAACTATGTTGGAAGTGTTGTACACCAAAATTGTTAGTAGTTGCCTTTATATCCTAATTCCTACACTCATCAAGGAACTACAACCATGGGAGACTTTTCATGTGAACTAGACAATGCCGCAATACTACAATCGTGTTAGACGAGTGCATATATTCATGCATTGAGTACAACAAATCAATGTATAGTTGCATACAGCCAATAACCATTACATTCAAGGAGCTAAATATTGTAAAGTATAAACAATGAATCAAATAATCAAATAATCAAATAATCAATCGTGTCCGGGTCCAGCTAGACCATTTAATGCTGCAGCAAATGAGAGGTATGGATCTGATAGAGCACTAGCAACCTAAAATAACCATCAAAAAACATATGCTATAACTACTTATACAATTAGGGAATTACACTTTGGAAATCCATTGAATTATAGCAGTGAAAATTGTTTTGTAGTTGGATGACATTGCTATAACTAGGTAAAATTTCCAAGTATAAAATCAGATGCTATAATAAACAAATAAATGAAAGTGCCTTTTATCTTTGGAACTTACAAGATATCCAATATGAGCAACATTTCCACCTTCATGGTCACTACAATAAATCAAGATTTCATAATCAGGGGCGGAGCCAAAAAAAAGTTTTAGGGTGTTCCTTATATATATATATATATATATATATATATATATATATATATATATATATATATATATATATATATATATATATATATATATATATATATATATGGTATTTCGAAGGTCCTATGTAAAAAGTTAAAATTGGTCCCTAGATATAATTTTTTATATATATAAGAAAAATAAATTGAAAAAGAAAAACTAAAAACTAAATTAAATTAGCTAAAAATTGAATTGTGCAAATTTATAAAATTTAAGGTGTAAAATATGTAAAATTTGAAAACTAACTTACTAAAAGAATTTAACTTCTAAATATGAGGGGGCCAAAATGTAACTTTAGAAATGAATTCTTTTAAAAAAAAAACTAACGTGATGGAATGGAACTTGCAGTGTTCTGGGAAAGAGGTAAGGCAGCTTGCCAATTGAAGTACACATAATTTTTGAAAAAAAAAATTTGAGGGTGGGCCTGGGCCTACCCTGGTCCTAAGGTGGCCCCTCCCTTGTTCATAATCCTTAAACATAAATTCAAAATATATACAAACAAGTAAATAATCAAAAATCATATTCTTACGAATGGATAGTGACATAAAGCCTCATAAGCTCTTGCATGGCTGGACTATCAAATCCAAGCATATGCGCAAAATTTACACCATAATCTAACGAGTCATCCGCTGATACAACTTCTCCATTTTTATATATCCTTTTTTAAAAAAATAGCAAATAACAACAGTCAAAACTTTCATTTTTCAATATGAAATTATGTAGAAATGGCATTTCTTTGGATATACACATAGACATACCTACGGTATATATATGCAGCTACAGCTGGTAGTTGAGCAATCAATGAAAGAGAGTCCTCAAATGTCGGCTCCCAGTATCTTGAATCGTAATAATAAGTATATAAATCATCTTTTGCATTAAAAATAAGTGTGTTAAAAAATATAAAAATTAGAAGAAACCCACTTGGATTTATGGATTCCATTCTCATAAGCTTTTGCAAATTCGCTTTGTACCTGTGAAAAAAGGAGTGTCGTAGTTAAATTGTGGAGTATATTTACTGCTTAGTTGCTTATAATATTAGTTTAACTTAACAACATGATTTTATATAAATATAACAAGTGCAAAGTATGTTCCCATTTTCTATTTCCTGCCAAATTGACCTCTTTTGTAAAGAAACAATTACATGAAAAAGCTAACCTGAAGAGCCATGACACTAGTTATAAACTGAGTCATTGGATGAGCTGTTATAGGTAATGCATTGATGGCTTTATACACATGATCTGCAATAATAAACAAAATACACCAATAAACAAAAAGTTCAACTTTTTTATATATTTAAATTAAAAGGAAGTGAAATTACATGACCTGGGATAATGGCACGACTACGTAATTCTTTGGACAAAGCATTCACTTGTTCTGTTGTTGGTACCTTTATTGATGGAGAATATAGAAACAAAAAAAATGTCAATAAAGAAAATAAAAATAAACAAATGGCATATTAACATTTAACAGTTTACCTTTCCAGTCAAAAGAAGAGAGTAGCAGATATAGTAAATATTATTGTTATATCCTCCTAAAATTCCACTTCCCTTGTTAATTGAGACTCGGGAATAGGCCAATAGGGTGTAACCCATAAAAAACTCTAATTTATGGAATCAATGGAAGTTTTCTCAATATAGAAACATCATTCAACAGAAAAGGGAGAACAGAGAAGAAAATTCGAGAAAAAAGAGAGCGAGAATAGTGATAGTCGAGAATGAATAGCTGAGATTGTCCAACAACTTACCTGATGGAAGAGACCGCGGGAGGAACAATGAAGACATCTTCGGACAATGATGGAAGATGGAAAAGTGGTGACCATGGGAGATGGAAGTGATGACGAAGCAAAGGCTGTAAAAACTAAATAGAAAACTAGGGTTAAAGGAGGATGAATTAGAAGTAAGAAATAACTAGTACTAGGGCTTAATGTGGAGGTTTAGTTATCGTAATCCAAGTGTATGGCAACTCCATCATCGAAGGATTTGGGCAGAAGAAACAAACATGAAAGACTGCCTGAAGCTAATATCAACCATACGACTTCTTGATGCTTTTGAAAACGTGAATTCAAGGAGAGGAGGAAACCTTGCTGGGCTTAGAATCCCTAGTTCTTCATCATAGAGCCCTCAATCACAATGATTTTGTAAGGTCTATTTTTTGGAGCAAAAAACCCTCAATCTCAACAGTCTTGTTCTGCCTTAAGATTTGACGAATGTGAAAGCTAAACTCCATCATCTCCAAACGATTCCATATGATTTCAACCCTTTGTAATAGCCACTTCAGTTGTTCTATTATGTCTCGTACCCGTCGATCACCACCAAAAACCCGAGCACGTACTAAGTCGATAGAAAAATGAGAGAATCGGGATTTTAGAAGAAAATAAAAGACCTCCAGCTACCTACTAAGAAGCAAGACGCACGTTAGGGTTCTTCGTCTGTGTGTTGTTTTGATTTATATGTGGGAAATCAGAGACAAACGAGAATCAAGCTTTGCATTCCATACTTCATAGCGATAACTCATGGAATTCACAGAGCTTCATTAAGCCAAACCATGGAAAAGAGAAAAGTAGAAACGAAGGAAGATGAGAACAAAGCGGGTTTTCTAATTTCCCGCTTAGCTATTAAAGGTTGGAACGCGCGTTCCATTAAAATTTATAAAGCGACATCCTTAGACGACACGCATTTTATTATAGGTGCCCTCCGTGTTTTTTTTTTGTTTGTTTAGACACTAATTTAAGGGCGCACAATAATGCGCGACATAAATCCTTAAATTTTTTGAAGAAATGTACTTTTTGAATGTCACACGCTTTTGCGTAACATAAATAAAGGAGTGTCGTGGTTTGCGCGTCGTAAAAGGGTCTTTTTCTTGTAGTGTTCCAGCGCTCTAAAAAGTATTTTCTGCCTATTCCCTTCTAAATACCCTGCTTGGGGACATTGTTTCCAACTATACTTACCGGTCTTTGCGCGTTCACATCAGTCCCCCAAAAAATGTCTTAGAAGTCTCTCACGGTAATAGACCGTGAGATGTCCCAACAATAGAAAAGGTCAAGGACAAAATATAAAGAATTAGGCCAATCAAATAACTTAAACATGTGGATGTTTACTCTTTCCTCACAACTATGCTCCTCTGTTTATGCCATAGTAGCACCCTCCTTGTGAACACCATCTTGGTATGTCGCGTCAAGCCGACATTTTAAGCATGAGTGCATCTTCGGATACTTTGAAAGTGCGCCCTTGCGAACAGAACTTCAAAGGAGTTGTGCTGGGACAAAATATAAAAGAGTTAAAAAAAAGTCAAAAAAAAGTTGCATGAATAATTACAACTAGGAAATAAGCTTGGTTATCAAAAGATCTCCTAGGACTTGAACTTGAACTTATGACATCGTGACTGAATTTAAACTACGTTGATTGGTGTAAGTGGTTTGAAACATGTAACCCATCTGGGTAAATATTAAGGAATTTTTAAAAAATATTTTTTTAGAAAAAGATTGTTGTTAGTCAACAAATAGCTGGAGTTGGTCATTGTCATGCGTTGTAAAATGAAAATGATTGAGCATGTTTTTCATCACATGTTTTCACGAGAGTAAGACCATAATTGGTTCCATGTGCTAACCCAATACCTGTAAAAGTGAACAAGTGTTGTAACTTTTGATTTTGTTGAGTTGTGTTATGGAGTGGCTAAAAATCTTGTTTTAAATGTTATATATCTTTGTGGGGTTAATGTCAAGTTATCTCAAGGCACGACAGGTACACCTTCGACTGCATGACACAATGAGGTTAATTAGATTGAATCTGTTCGTTTCGTTTTGTTTATTGCATTGATGTTTGAAAAAAAACAAAAAAATATTTGAAGTGTTGTTAATATTTTTGTACATATGTTATTTTCTTTAGTTTTACTTTTATTGCTTGCATTCACTCTTAATTCCCTTTAGGTCCTTTTCATTCATTCTGTTCTTTTCATCTTAGTTTCTTTTTAGTCATCTATCGTCTTCTCTAGGTGATTCTTCATTTTGTTCTTTCTTGAGGACAAGAAAGGTCTAAGATTGGGGAGGTTTGATAGGTACATTTTATGCACCTATTTTGCATGTTTATTTCCGTCCTTTCATAACATTCTACTTAATAATTCTTGCATTTAGTTAATTATTTGGGCAATTGCATATTTCATTTAGAATGCCTGGTACTTCACCATTTTTTTATTTATTTTGCAGGTATTATGGAGCTTTGGAGCATGTAGAGAAGATGAACTAGTCATTCCGTGGAAGAAAAGATGAAGACATAACCCAAGTCATTGTTGCATTGTCATCATAGCAGAGGACTACGTTTGAAACGTGGTTCTTGTCACACCGACACGGGCCGTGTTTGTCCTTTCTCATCTTATATTTGAACAACATTACTCGTGGTGAAGCTAGACTGAAGATGGAGCCAACAGTGAAGACTTATTGGACTTTTAGCAAAAAAGCATGAGCAATGCCAAAAACACATGGTCAAGACAAATGGTCATGCCAAAAACACATGGGCAAAAGGCATGGCTTGGCGCCTTGCTAAAAACGCATGCCCTTATGACAAGCACGTGAGCCTTAATAAAAGAAGGGAGGTCGACATTTTATCAGGGAGACGGTTTTTGGAGCAGTTCTGGGCGATCTTGGGCACTTTTGGGAGATTTCTTGGAGCTTTTGAGAAGACCAAATCATTGCAAACACTCTTGATTTCATTTTGTAAGCATTAAACATTTCCAAATCTATCTTTCTCTTTGATTGATTTGTTCTTAGCCATGTGTGGCTAAGAAACCCTAGTTTCTAGTTCTTGTTCAAAACATGTTGATTGCTTGACTTGAAGCATATGATTTGATGTTTGATTTGTGATTCTGTTCTAGTGATTATGTTTTTGTTTAAACTAGAATCCTTGAATTTGATTTGTGTTTGATTGGCCACTTTCATGAATTGAATTTTTGTGCAGTTAATTATCTTTTAGAGCACCTAATCGTTCTATTAAGTTAATAATTTGTAACAAACAATAAGTTTTCTTATTGTAAAACATATGTCACATGTTTTCACACTTCCGGGCGTATGAGAAGAAATGAACATTGTTGGGAAGCTTATACAAAACTTAATGCAATTTTTCAATACAATCTAAGAGCGTGTTTAGGTTGAATTAGTAAAGCTAGATCGTGTCAAAAAGCGTGTTTTGGTTAGATAATTTGACAAGCGAAAGGTATTAGAGCGTGTTAATATCTTTCAATACCAAGTTAGAATAACAATCATGAATTACATCAAGTCATAATCAAGTTGAACAATAACATTGAGAACTAGAACTAGAATCATTCAATCAAATTAGCATGTTTTAAAGTAAATTGTTATTTTATTATTTCACTTTTGCAAACAAAACCCCATTTGGTGATCAAAGTACCTTGCACAAAAAGGCATAGACTTTTATATCGTGTCTCTGTGGTTCGACCCTGCTTGCCTTGTACTAATTTTTAGTGCATTAAAGCAGTGTATTTGAAATCTATTGTACCCTATCATTTGTTGGGTTTGACACACGTAACAATCCATCATATCGTGGCACAAAGTTTTTCCCAAAAACATTGTCTCCGATCTCTCTAAGCTGATCCACTCTAAAAAAACGGATGTTACATTATATTTAGGTTTTTGGCTGATAGATATTCTTAAAATATGTTGATTTTAGTGAACTCCCAATAAACTATAACACCAAACTATGTTGGAAGTGTTGTACACCAAAATTGTTAGTAGTTGCCTTTATATCCTAATTCCTACACTCATCAAGGAGCTACAACCATGGGAGACTTTTCATGTGAACCAGGCAATGCCGCAATACTACAATCGTGTTAGACGAGTGCATATATTCATGCATTGAGTACAACAAATCAATGCATAGTTGCATACAGCCAATAACCATTACAAACCATTACATTCAGGGAGCTAATTGTAAAGTGTGAACAATGAATCAAATAATGGACAGAAAAATAAAAAAGTATTATCAACTTTCCATAGAAATACATGAACAGATTTTCTACAGAGATGTATAACTTACGCAGTAAAAGTTGTACCTCAACTTCACTGCCTGTCCAACGTGCATACAAAAACAGCCAACCGCCGGACAGTGTATCCTACTTCCGGCCGACAATGCGCCTTCCGATCACCGGAGCACAATAAATTGTACAATACGAGTTCCCGATGAATTCAGTTTCCGTTAATCTTGTCATCGCAACCTGTGTTTTTTTCAAATTTCCCACTTCCAGAACCATATCTGCTATCTTTGGGTGCTAAGTACAAGTCATTGATGCATCTCTCTGCAACAGAGAACATGGCGCCGGAGAAACACCATTAACGAAACCAGATATGTGTTCACAGTTCCATTTCACCGTCGCCGGTAGACCCAACAAACTAACGTTTCTCATACATATTCCCCCAAAAGGAGCACCTTCGATCCCCAACAGCATAGGGGCTTTTCTCGAACCAAAACTCACCACATTCGTTATATGTATACGATTTATCCTCGGAAGAGCTTTCCGATCCCAGCCGTTGTCAGGGTGGTCATCGGCGCCACGACTGAACCTTAACGCGACCTTAACATTCTCCATTACAACATTCGTAATCGTGATGTTTTCGATATACCCACCTCTACCTTTATCTGTCTTGATTCGAATCCCAGCTGCTGAATTCCGAATGTGGAGATTCTCCACTCTGATGTTCGAAATCCCGCCGGACATTTCGCTTCCGATTCCAACTCCTGAACACGTCGGAGTGGTGCCGGAGACTCGCCGGATAATGATATTGGAGCTTGGACGAGCCATGGAAATGCCGTA